ACGTCTCAGTTCAGTGATTACCTGCCGGACATGTGTTTGTTGTCCACGCGATACAGTGGTAGTAACTGTAGAGTAGAATCCCCACGTCTCAGTTCAGTGATTACCTGCCGGACATGTGTTTGTTGTCCACGCGATACAGTGGTAGTAACTGTAGAGTAGAATCCCCACGTCTCAGTTCAGTGATTACCTGCCGGACATGTGTTTGTTGCCGGCCTGAAGAGTTCTGGACTGAGCGAAACGCTTCGTTGGCAATGGATATGACCAATATAATGTGGTTGAAATATTATTATTATAATACACTCTTCTAATTTTTGAAAATCCTTAAGGGACTAGATTAACGATGTAGCATTACAATATAATAGGCCTACTAAAATAATGTCTTATTACAAGTATAATTAAGCTCCGTCAGCTTGTAAAAGATGTTCATACTGTTACGTCTCCGTTTGTTAATTAATTTTCCGTAACTTCGTTCCGATGAAACTTTAGCGACACAAGTCCTTACTTAATAAAACTGGTTTATTCTTTCTGAATATAACTTTACGATACACTTATTTTCAACAATCGCGCTAAAACAAACGCTATATCAACGAACGTCAACAATACTTCTGACTGCAGTTCAATTACTCACTATCTACACTCACCTTATTTTCCCGTCACGTTGTCACCCTCTTTTATACCAGGTTACCCTATATCTAGTAAATACTAGAGCATTGGCCAAGGTATAGGATAGTTCTAGAAAATAGGTGGCGCCACACCAGTCACGTGACCTCGATGACGCAACAATACCATAGACATCAGTTTTGTGTCTTAAAGTCTAACTTACTATTGGAAAATACTGTATGTGTTAATATCTTGTTAAGCTTTTTTTATATTATTTTAGAAAAGCACCTTCACATTTATCACAACATTACAAATTACTTACCAGTGGTAAGCCACAGTGTTTGCCAAATTCATTTTTTCAATGTTTTTATCCAATAAGTTAAAACATACATTAGTTTTAGCTCCTTTCATCCATTCTATTCGAATCGGACCTTTAGTTATATCGAAGTTATAGGTGAAAAAGGATCCTATTGGTTTGGATTTCCAGTAGAACTGTCTTGCAACATCTTGCCAAAACAGTTCCGGTGAATTTATCGACTTTTCATATAATAGTTTGTAATCTTCCATACATCTGACGTTTGCCTTCTTTCTAAATTCTTCGGGAGCATAGAATAAACTGTTAATACTAATACAGTTAGACCCCATGATTATCTGAACACGAGCACTCTGTGATCAGCCACCGTCGTCTGCTTTTATCGTGATAGATAATACCGCCACCACTCGGACATAAGTTGAGATAATAAAATATGTAAAATATTTTGTTTTATTACAGAATTGATGAAAAACAAGACAATTGTACGTTTCACAAATACACCATTTATTACGATCATAATTTCGTCAGGTCTTTCCTCATTTCTGTAATTATTGAGTTTCATCAAGTACCGACGGTTTCAAGTATCAATTATATTTTGTTTTATATATGTTATGTAAATTTCAACGCAGATTAAAGTATTCGTAAATGGAAAACATTTGGGTTATTCATAATTTAGTAATATTAATAATTCCCCCCCCCAAAAATAAAAACGATAAAATACGTCAATTAGGTAGGTAATAAATCCACAGAACAATATTGATTAATACTTTGTTTCGAGTGTGTGTTTTTCTTATAGTAAAGCCACATCGGGCTATCTGCTGTGTCCACCGAGAGGAATCGAACCCCTGATTATAGCATTAATAAATTCGTATACTTACTGCTGTCCAGCGGGGGACTTTACGAATGTACACATAGCGATTATTTACAGGCTATTCTGAACTAGTTGTCTCCCAGTGTCTCAGTGACAAGTTTGTAGACTTACGACACTAAAATTTGGATTTCGATACCCGTGATGGGCAGCGTACATATAGCCAATTGTGTGGCTTTGCGCTTAACAGCAACGAAACCAAAGCTAAACTAGTTATGAAACATTTGTGGCTGCAAATTTATTTTTTTTATCCTTTACACTTAAAAAAATCCTTTGAAAATTATAACGTCGTTAATAAACGTTTGAATAACAGTAACCCACAGAACCAAATATTAACACAAAGATTAGTTTCGACACTTTTACATGTGTCCTTTTTAGTCTTCTGAGAGAGTCTGGGTAATACCTGATTGTGAACTTCTCTTGAGGTCACATTTTGTTAAGAAACGGTTCAGAAATGTTAAAGTTTGGTACACTTTAAAAAGTATTCGTTTTATGTAACTTTAGGTTTTATATATCATTTTGGCTAATTTCAAGTTTACAGAGTAGTCAACGTCTCTTGCAAGGAGAAATATTGCATTTTCTGTATTTCCGTTATTTAATGTTTCTTTTGTGCCTATTATTCTTCATGGTGTTGTGAAGAATATTAAGTTTATTCAAAAAGTTTTTAAAATCACTTCTGTGACTTGGCCAGACAGGGAAAATATCATGTACGTAACAGAGCTACAGAATATTCGTGTTGTTAATGTCTGTTGTATTTACTTGTTATTAAAAACTTCAATAAAATATTTTTATCGCTGTCAGTGTCACTTAACATACCCAAACGCGTCAGCAGAAGAAACGTTTTTAAACGTTGCTTTTAAAATATCCACGTGTGCTCCGCATTATTTTTTACTGGCAATAATCAAAATAATTCAGAAAAAATAAAAAGGTAAAAATTCTGATTTGTTGTTATGTCTTACACCAGGGAAGTACTGTAATTTTTATGCTCTATGAAGTGCCTTTCTTATTTTTATAGTAATTTGAAACACAAGCTATAATATTTACTTTAAAATTAAATAAACTAGACCTAAAAATATTTCATAAACATTAAAAAGGAAGTATTTAAAAACATCTATAAAAAATAACTATTTTATCCGCTTGTGACCCAGTTCCACAAAATGAATTATTATGTTTAATTTTTAACTAGTTTAATAATTTGACACCAGGTTTACCAAGAGATGAATTGTTATGTTTAATTTTTATTTAATAATTTGACACTAAGATTAAGATCAGATCTGGTGGGCTTCTAAATATTTTCGTTTTTGCAAAGAAGGTAGCTTCAAGAATGAATTACAAAACTAATTTATTTTTTATGATTGTTTTTCAAACTACGGTTTCAATACCATTTTGAAGTCAATCTATTTCACGATCTAAATTCTGGACCAAAGTACCGAAACCATAAGTCAATAAAAACAACTGTTTTAAATATTGGCGTATACATTTACATATAAGTTTTTACGTATCTATATTTCCATATCATCCAACTCGGTTACAAAAAACATCCAATTTCATGCAGGCTTAAAGCAAAAAGATATATATTTTTTTAATCAGAGCAATAGAATCCTTGTAGATGGCGCTTAATTCTTCGAGGCAGACAAATTAACCACATAACATTTTTACACGTACACAGGAAGCGATTATCTAATAAAAACAAAATAAGTGTATTAATTAACTTTTTAACTTGCATATTTAATACAAATATAAAGTATTTATCGTATATATATATACACAATGTTCAATTAGCAATAAATGAATAGCATATCTTCTATGAAATACAGTAACTTGAACCAAATATTCTGATGTACCAACAAAAACAACTGACATTTACGGGAATATATACGAAATTATTTTCTTTGTCGTTTTCATTGCAATTTAGATAAATTCCGAATGCATCGCCTCATTTTCTAGAGAATGACTTTACGTTTGTTTTGAATGAAGCAGCACTTGTATCTCTTCACACAGAGACAAGTGAAGGAATCCAGTTTCCATCCATTCATATGGCATACTCATACTACTCACGTAGTAAATGTTGCCTGGTCCACAATAAACTATAACTTTTAATCTCTTACATTAAACAATAATCAAGCGTTTATAAACACTTATATTAAATTCTAACCATATAGTTATCAACACATATATTAAACTGTGGCCATATACTTATTAACACATATATTAAACTGTGACCATATAGTTATCAACACTTATATTAAACTGTAATCATATAGTTATCAACACTTGTATTAAACTGTGGCCATATACTTATTAACACATATATTAAACTGTGACCATATAGTTATCAACACTTATATTAAACTGTAACCATATAGTTATCAACACTTATATTAAACTGTAACCATATAGTTATCAACACTTGTATTAAACTGTAACTGTATATTAAATTTACTGTCATTTATATTAACATAAGGAAACTCACTGTCATCCACGCCAGTGATTTCTAATATTTTTGGCCTGAAGCTCCACCCTCATAAACGTCCCCACCCCTCCCTTGCATTATAACTACACACACACACTCGCGTGTATTTATATATTAGCGGATAGCTAATCAAAAATGACGGAGCAAGCACTATTAACCCCACCCCATAGTATACCCTAACCTCACATTTTATAGCTAACATAAATAAATAAATTTTGCGAAACCAAACTTGACCAACAAAGAGGAAGTCAAACATCGGTAAATTTCTTTGTGAGCCAATGAAAATTAAGCTCATTCATGAAATGAATTCGTGGCATATTCATAGAATAATTATTGGTAAAAATCAGTTAGATTAACAACTTGTTATATAGAGAGAAGCTAGTGCGTTTTGGCAACACTACGTTACAACAATGACTTTTATGTCAACAAAAGTATAACCTTAATTTAGAGTCTCCGTTGATTAAAGAGGTTTGCTTTTATTAGAAACGTTGGTGATATAACAGGAAACAGCTTAATTCAGAAACAATTTAAGTTTAAAATTGAATCGATATTTTTACTTTCATGATAAATTTTA